AAACGGTTAGGACTGGCTACCTGGAGGGGGGAGCAAGTGGCAGACTTCCACGCATCTTGGATGCAGATGATGCAGCTCAGAGTAACCGTTGGTGAGAGGAGCCCCTGAAAGGATCTGAGCTTTTATGAACACTGCAATGCTGCCTGAGAAAATAAGTTCTCACCATTGTTTTTTAACTAGTAACCAATAGACAACAAAAATGTACACACAATGTACTCTTTTCCAGTGCCTTATATCAATAGCTATACTCCAAAGCTTTATGTTCTTTATTTCACTCAAATGATTCCCTTCCCAAACTAGGAATTCACAAGAACCCTTTAAGCATTTGGTGTGTTATTCTTACCCACTTTTTTTCATAGTTGTAAATTAATATTTGACAAAGAAAATCCATTTATGAATCAATGCAGAGCATGTATGATTCGATAGGAGTGTAGATACCCCAAAGATATTGTAAATAGGCTGAGCTTAGCTTCATTTATTTCTTTAGCATGGTGAAATGATTAATGCTGTATGGGTGCTCAGAAATGAAAACAACCCAGTAGAGGGCAGTGGTGTCCCACTGTCCTAAAACATGTCTGTTTTGTATGAAAAAGTGTGGATTTGTTCCCCATTGACAGCAGTAGTAGGCTACAGTCCCTGGTGGATAAGGTTCATCGTCATTTTGAAACATAATAATGAGGCAAAGCAGAAACTAATCTGAAACCTTAGTTATACTGAGCACAGTTTATCCTATTGTGCACTAATCTGATTTCATTTTAACATTAGGTTTATCTGTATACTATTACATCCATCAAAATAGAGTTGCTTAGTTAAAGTAATGTGATTTGTAATTTGTAAATTGAAAAAAACAAAAAACAATTACTGGATTCATAGGGTTTGCTTGCAGTCACCACGAGGTCTTGATCTGCTCAAAGGCTCCACAGGCTGGCTGGTTCATTGGCAGCCGAGCATGAAACACAGCAAGTGACAGGAAGTGTTGGGCTGTGACAGATTAGGTACAGATGATCCCTACTTATTACAATGTCTTTGCCAATTATGTAGGCATGCTTTAAAGTGTTGATCCTCAAATCTGGTCCTTAAGCTCTGGAAAATGCAGATTATTTTTTTCTCCTGCTGGGTAGTTAATTGTGCTCCCCTGAGGTCACAGGTCTAAATTGGTCTGCGATCGCACTGCTAGAATGAAAACCACCAAGAAAAAAAAAAAGAAAAAAAGAACAGTGCTTTGAACCTCAACAAGTGAGCCACTTGGACATTTCCCTTGTGAAGTGGCAATCTGAGAACGTGACAAGGTTGCATGGTGGAAATGCAAAACATCGCCTTGAGCTGAAAAATTGCAGCTTCTCCTGGATTTCACTCAGGTCTAGTTTGTAACTCCAATAAAAAAAATTTTTTCTTGCTATGTGATGTTTCCAACCACTTTTTTGCTGGAGACAGGTTATTACTGAAACATCATAATACAGTCTTAGTCAAACATACAGGTAATTATATTTCATTATCTGAATTTAAAATAACCACCGCAGATTGTTATGGACAATATTCATTCATACCAATGATTTTTTTTCTTTATGGGGTGAGATTGTTTTACATTTTAGATTTAACCCAATGATCAGTTGCGTTAATTGTATTTATGTCCCTCTTGTAAAACTCAAATATTTGCATTAAAGTGAAAAATCTGAACTTATTGAAAAGGGTTGATTTGTCTCACTAACTCTGCATGCACCAAAAGCTATTATTTCAAACGTTATAAGACTTTTTATAACATTAAAAGCTTTAGAATGTCAATACACTATTGACTAATATCGTATTTACAGTACTGTGTTCTTGCAAACATAACTATTCCAAACTTTCAAAGACAAAAGGGAGATCATATTAAAAACACCTCCTTTCACAAGACCATATGTCACATGTAATGTATGGTTATTTAGAAAGTAAATTCTTTATCACACAATGAGACCACCACTCATCAGAGGCGAGGGATCGTAAAGTTTCTAAGGCGTCTCATGTGGTTTCTATTAGCATAAACAGCTCAATCATTGATAAGCAGCTGCAAAATTAATTCTTTATGCTAAAGGGTTTTGTTGTAAATGCATTTGCTGTATTCTAAATTTTAATTAACTTTGTGAGAACCATCCATCCATCCATTTTCTCCCGCTTAGTCCTTGTCAGGGTTTTGGTGGGGCCTGTGCCGATCTCCAGCAGTCTGTGGGTGAGAGGCGGGGTAAAACGTAGACAGGTCGCCAGTCTGTCGCAGGACAACACAGAGACACATAAAGACACACAACTATGCACACACTCACACCTAAGGACAATGTAGAGAAGCCAATTAACTGTACAGTCATGTTTTTGGACTGTGGGAGGAAGCTGGAGTACCCAGAGAGAACCCACGCATGTACAAGGAGAAAAATTCCAACTCCATGCAGAAAGACCACAGGCAGGGAATTGAACCCAGAACCTTCTTGCTGCAAGGCAACTGTGCTACCCACTGTTCCACCATGAAGCTCTTGTGAGAACTAATCAAGGCTTTTTTACTCCTATTATTGCTTCAAAATCTGTAAGGTGAGCATTAAAACTGAAGGCCAGTAGATTAACCTCTTAACATCACAAACACTATGCAAATATCAGCAAGAAGTGCCACTTGAGATAGAAAGTGAGTTTCAGGATGCTGTGAGCAATAAAAAAGAAAAAGAACATTCTGAAGATAAACTTTGTAGTATTTATAACCAGCCTCTGACATGTGAGTCCCATTAAATGTTCATCATTAAAAGCCCACACAACCACCTTCCAGAAACATAATGTCCTGACTTTTTTTTCCTCTTTACAGGATAAATAGCCAACAGAGTCATTGAATATGAGCTCAGCAAAGCATGAGCTCATATATGATGACTCATTTTTAAGCCAAAGGCTTCACCATCATTGGCTTTCTGTTGTGGTCATGGAAAACATATTAGAGATCTAGTTGTAGCTTTTGGTTGCTTGGCAGGCAACTTTTCAGTGCATTTTTTTTTGCGCATTTCCAAATTATAGGACAGAAAAAAAAAGTTGTGAGCTACAAACACTACAACAAAAAATTAAATTTTCTAAAAAAGGACTGTATTGGTCCTGTAAAGTGTATATCTGCTAAAATAAGAAGGAAAAATATAATAACCAAAAAATAAAATTACAAAAGAAGACCAACTCCCATTAAAACTAATATTGCTTTGCTCAGGCATCAACTGTCTCCATGGGTTTTTGGATTGTTTGAAGGAGCCAACCAGCATGTAGGCCGTCTGTGGACAATAACGAAGGAACTAATAGAGAAATGAAACAGAGCAATGGAGCGCCCCGAGGATAAAGCATAACCACACATTCCCCTCCTGTGATGAAGATGGAACTCACTCCAGGAAAGTGAGAAAGAGAGCAGAGAGAGAAAATAGAAACGGTAATAAGAGCGTGAGAAAACAAAAAGTGTGTTGACGCATTAGTGAGAACAACAGGAAGAATTTGAACACCCTGGAACTGATGATCACCATTTGATCCAAAAAAAGTGGATAATAGTATTTGAAAATATCTTAATGTCATATTATACTTTTAAAACCTATATTCAAATGGTCAATATGACTTCAGGTTTCTAACAAGCAGCTATCAGACTAATTATATGATATACACGGCTGATAACTATAAAAGCAGTAAAATGCTTTTTCTGAAGAATTACAGCAAATTATAATCCAGCAAAAGCATAGATCAGGTTGACAAAATAAATAAACAATAAAACATAAAGGCTTCTATTAGCAGTGCAGCACAGATAATTACTTTAGAAAGTTGGAAAATTAAGAGTTTTGGCATCCTGAGTTATAGATTAGTTTTCTATCTGTTGATTCATTTTTAAAATGGCTTAAAACGTCAAACCCAGTTTCCTCCTGACAAAGAGAATTGAAATTAGAGCACTACTGATACATAAATACCATTTTTTAAAGGAAACAACTAAAGAAAGCAGTCTTTGTAATGTTAGTCACTAGAGCAAAGAACACCAGCTCAGAATTTTCCTATAGCTTCTGCTTTGAAAGCTGCCTTCCTTTGTATTTCCTCAGGAGGAAGAAGCTGGACTTTAAATCTGAGCCTATGTCTGAAGTCTGTATAATGCAACCGCTTTTGGCATTTATCTAATCACATATAGTTACTTTCACACAATTGTATATGTCTTACCCTGCTAACATGAAACAATTGTGTTAAAGTAACTAAACATGATTAAGTAAATGCAAAAAACGAGTGCATTATTTTTTTCAGCGTGCAGCAACTCAAAATCTGTGAAAAATTATCATTTTTGTTTAAATGAACTTTATCAACATACAGTGTGGAGAGTTGGAAGTTTTCTTAAAAGAATACAAATAGATCCCACCAATCCAAAAATTAAAATTAAAGTTAGTAAATTGAAAATCATTAAATTTTTTTCATCAAGTCCGGAGAGAAACAGAGTTGATATACCCTTAACATGTCCATATAAGGCAAATTGCTTATTTACTTCAACAATGTTTGTAAAGGACTGCTGACTAAGGCTTTTCATCCGAAAAGGTTCAGTTGTCCTTTTAGCCTCTTAGTGTATGTATGATGTGTGTTTTTTTCCCCCTAAAGTGCTGAGCACGGCTGTTTCATCGCAGGGAGGTCAGCTGTCCCATTAGCCAACAACACTCATTAAGCCTTCGTGTTTTCTTTTGGTCGCTGCCAATTTTGTCATTCTCCTCTCTAAAAGAGGCACGTGATATGAGTATTTCATTCCTCCACCATTTATCTTTGCCTCTAAAAGAGGATGCTGCTTTCTCAAGGCTAGAAAAGGTCAGAGCTGATAGAAGGCTTTGATTGTTAGACTGCACAGAAATTCAGGCATTATAAAAAAAAAAAGGAAAAAAAGAAGAACGTCTTTGTGGTTTCAAAGTAAGCTAAGGGATATGTTTTTTTCTTTATTCCCCACCTTCTGATGACTTGGGATGTAACATATGAGGCAACATGTGGAAAGAAGAGACAAGTGGACATCAGCACAAGGTTCAAAAGACACCCAAGGTGCCATTTTACTGAAATTTGAAAATAAATAAAAGTTCACGCATTTGATTTAAATTCACTGAACATATCCAATGTTTGGAGGCAGAGCAGACTCTCATCTCCACTGGATTTCATATGTCCTCCCAGCTCAGGAGCAGCTACCTCATCCAATGTCCATGCAGTGTCAAAAGGCCTAAGTAGCCCTACAGACCACTTTGCAGAATACCAGTAGACCAAGGCATACAGATTTGAACTCCAGGCCTGCGATGTCTACAAAACAAATTACTACCTCCTGAGATTGGGAGAAGAACCGAAAGGACACTAGACAGCATCAACATAGCAACAACGAAGTATTGTAGCAGCCAAAATAGGTATCACTTTCAGTTTGAGATGCATAGAGCTGGACCCGGCCAGGTAAATCTCTCTTTTACAGGTACAAGATGAGGAACATGCAACGACAACAACAATACATCATTAATCTCAGTGTTTCTTGGGCTTTCTGGAGACATTCAAATACCAAATGAAAAGAAAGAAACAAACCAACAAAAAAAAAAAAAATAATTTACAATCCTCCAGTAATTAACACAGAGAGAGAGAGGTGGAGATTGGCGTAATTGGTGGTGGGGGATCTCAGAGCTTTAATCTGTGGCAGCAATTTGCAGAAAACACTGGAGGGAGGCCAGTGGTGGAACACAGAACAGAAAAAAGCTGCAAACGAACAACAGGGAAAATAATCCACAATCAAGCCGTCCTGGAGGAAACATATTTACATCCAATATATCAGCTAATGTATCTGGGCTTACAGACTGACCAGAGACACTGATACTCACAACGATAAGAGAGAGAAAGAGGGTGAGTACAGGAAAAATAAAACCACAAAAAAAACAAAACTATCCATATTTTAAGGGTGTAGGAATTGGAAAGGTTATTTTTTTTTGGTGGGGGATTGGAATAGTTCTTACAATGTCATGAGAGTTTTGTTTTGTTTCTATGAGTTCTCTTTTATTTATCTGACAAAATAGTGAACTTGAAGAGAAAACTTTGCATGAGGTTCACTGAAGAAAAGGGTTGGATAAGTTGCAGGAATTACAAGAGCAGGTTTAGAGTCAATAGATGGACCACTGCCAAGGTAACTGAAGGAAGAGGAGTTGGAATGGCTTCAGATCTGTGCCGAGTTGACAGAGTTTTCTGGTCAGCTGATGGTAAAGTAAAAGGACGTAGTGGAGCTACCAGGTATAGCCAGTTTCATCATCCTTGTCCTCATCCTCGTCTTCGTCGTCCTCAATAGTTCCGCGGGGTTGGATCCTGCCCCGCCTTTTCTTCTGCCTGCTGCGTTCACTGTGTAATGGCTCCTCCTCCTGATCATCGAGGAGAATGACAGCACCACCACTACCAAAATCCCCTGAAGTCTCAGGGTCCTCATCTGTGAACAGATTAACAATAAACAAGGACAAGTTTAGAGCTAATTCATTAAAGATTCAAAAAGCCACAGATGACAAACTTTCTCGTAACCTTCAAAAATGACCTGGGCTTACTTAAATGTATATTGGAGGATTTTCACAAATTTGTGAAAAGACCTATCCCCTCCACTTAAACAAAAAAATAAATAAAAAAAATGTACATGCACAACCCTGTACTCGCTTGCAGAAGTCCATTTCTCCTCGTGCATGCTCTGTTTAAGAGTTCCTGTTTGCATCACTTATACAAGCTTACTTTCCAAAAGGAGATTTGCATTTTTTCCACTATGAAAGACTCATCACAGGTAAGTAAAAATGGGAACTAGCACGTAGGACGGGACAGCCTTACGTAAACATATCACCAGGATGATTGACAATTAAGAGGACCACTTATTTTGATGATCCACTGGAAAAAGAACATCCTCCACTACATCTTTGCTCATTATCTGTCAACTAAAAGTACAAAATCATAACAGCATATCTTGATATGTCAAAAACTTTCAGCAAATACATTTAGTTTGTATCTGAAATGACAATAATCTGTATCAAAATCAAAAATAAGACCCAAGAAATGCATCAAGGCTCTATCTGGGGAGTGTTGGCCTAGTGGTTAGAGCAGTGCCATTGTGCTCTGAGAAGGTTTCAGGTACCTGGTTCGATCCCCACAGCCTGCACTCTGGGTAACTGATCAAAACCCTTAACCCTTACATTGCTCCCCGGGTGCCACACAATAACAGCCCATTGCTACCCAACAAGATGGGTTAAATGCAGAGGTAAATTTCTCCAATGTGAGATCAATAAAGTACAATTATTATTCATGCTCAACAATGTTCCAGGTTTACTTCTCATAAAAATGATAATATTTTTAATAGTAAGCTTTTTAATTCTTGTACTGTACAGTATAAAAAAATCCACTGGATACAGGAGAATTGCACTATTTGTTTTCCCACTGATGTTCCAAAAATAGGTACCTCACAGGTTGGCATGTTCAGAAACACACACACACCCTCCCATTGTTTCCACCCCATAATTTCTTGCATTTAAGCCAAATGAGTTGTGAGCTGTGAGGTTTAGTGGATGCATATGGGAATGGGAGAATTCCAAGCTACAGCAGCCTGAGGCCATTCAGACTGAGTCTGATGAGCTTGTTACAACCCAGACAAAAAGAGTGCTGTTCTCTGTGTTTGTCCATGTGTGCATCTGTGTGTGTTTGATGACTGGATAAACACCTTATCAATATTGGAAGCAACAATTACTGGCCCATTTAGACTGGGCTGGCATTCGACTGAGCAGTGATGTGTCCTTCTGAGTCGGACGCTTGATTGGTTATCACTGTGTCTGCCTGGATTTTTTTTTAGCTAATTATTGTTGTGTTTTTGCCACTGTGAAATCTCTATGCAATTGATTTACAGCAAAGTGCATGTTCTGAACAAAATCTTTGAATTTAAGCTGCTGGCATGCCAGCTAGGGTTTTACAAGCACTTTCCTTTTATATTTTTGTCTGATCGCTCTCCTTCACAAAGTGTGACTCAGTTTCTGTTCCAAAACCACATTTCTAGGACTTCCTTCTTAAACATCCTGTGAGTGACAGAAATTTCTATTTGACTTGGTAGATGAAAGAAGACATGATTTAAAAAGTATATAAAATGGAACATAGAAGAAACTGTCAGAGAGGCTCTAGAGAGCCCAGGTTTCTTACATAATAATCAACAGCTAGATATAGATAAAAACTAAACCCAGACTGAAAGACTAACTGAACAAAGAAGCAAAAAAATAACCTTATAAATTGATCTCTATGTTTCTATATATTTTTGTTTTGACTTTATTATAAAAATGTACTGTCTAATGTCTACAATATAATAGGTAAAGATTAATGTGAATTTCTTTTTTTAAACTATAAACCTATGTAAAGGCTTTTCCAAGACAGCATACAATGGGTCACATGCAAGGGGTGTTTGCTTGAACCAATTTGTTCCTAAATCATTAATGCGAGTCATTTAGGAGAAAATGATGCATTCACAATTTTTCTCCTATTTCTAATGACCGCTTCAGACTTAACATAAGAGTCTTACACAATCAGTCAGCTGTTGTCCAAACACAGTTTTTCACTAAATGACTGCATCTGTTGTCACTAAGAAGCAATTATATATTATGCAACTCTGTGAATACAAAGTATATTTTTTATTTGCTAAAGACAGAAATATTTGTCACTATACCTGTAGCTGGCATGTCTATTTAATTTGCTGTAATTCATTAAAAGAAAGAACAGTCAGTGAGCTCTATGTGGGATCAAGCTACTATTGAAATATCATTAATAGAAGCTAGAAAGAAAGTTCAGAAAAAGGTTTTAGCAACATGTTGCTGCTTGAACCTGTTTTAACGGCGTTCTTTCCACTCCATGGCAGCTCCTTGGCTTTGTTATTATATAAAATGGGGAATATTTGTGTTTGGATCTGTCTGCATTCGTCAAATTAGAGTTTCACTGTTAACAATTGTATGTTTATGCATGACAGGCATGGAGAGTGCTACGGATATTGAGGGATGGTAGACATGGTCTAGAGATGTACAGTGCCGATGTGTGTGTGTATTAAAAGGAGATTTAGCAGAATGACGTGTTGGTTGATGGACTCATATTATGCATTTACATCATATGTTGCACCTCTTGACGCCCTAGTAGATTAAAATTAACTAGCTTTTGCTAGACATGTTTTTTTGGCACCATTTTCAGATCAAATGATTTTTCTTTTTATTATTATTTTTTTATTTTCATTTGACCTCTTTAACAGTTCACCCACGGCATACACAGCTCCAGTGATTTTTTTCACTGCTTGGCTTTCGCTGGTCCTTTAATTCTGCCGCTCAGCTCTCAGTTAGCGGAGCCTCGTTCTCCAAACTTAAAAAGTCTTTCTTCTTTGTCTTTAAAGCCATTTATGAGAATGAGTACCATCTGGTGGGAAGTCGTACCCTTATATAGTATTATTTGGGTGGTAACTATGCAGATTTACATTTCTCGGGAAGATCTCTTATTTATGTTTATCATTAAGATCCAAAATGTTCTCAGACTTCACATTTACTGAAGCTAAGAATGTTTTTGAATCTGATGTGGTGCGTTCATAACAGCCCACGGTAGGAGGAAAAATTAGGAGAAATATATGAAGAGAAAATGGAAATGTTGTTGCATGAGACCCATTGTTCCAACAGAGCTAATGATCTAATAAGTTCTTAATCTGAATTACTGTCTGCCTTGGTTCAGGTCCTATAAATATTTAGGTCTCATAAATATGACAAGAAAAAAAACGTATTGAGATAATTTACAAATTAACTAATGATGGTGTCAATTGTAGAAGGTAAACCCATCTTTGTTAAAAAAAAATAAAAAATCTCTACAGGTTCTGTCGGTTCAACCCTTAAGTCGTAACTGGGTTTATTTCCCTCTAATAATAGCAACCTGATTTCACCATGAGCTCATCCCTAGGCCATTAGCAGAAGACAGCAGTACCACCTGCCAGCCTCAGAGCGACATTCCTGATCGAACAGCTGCTTGTGCCTAAATTTCCACTTTAGTCAAGCTGAGGAACAGAAAGTCTTAACTGACACTTTCAGAGATCCAGATGGTTTAGTAAGATGTGCAACAGCCCAGTAGCAAATAAAGTAAAGACCTTCACTTCCTCTTATCTTGGTGCTAAATACTAACAGGACAAAACTAATACTTAGATACATAGATCAACTATTGCTTTTATGTAGTCAAGTTGTCTCCACTGAAAGGCAGCATTAGGTCTGTTTGATAACTGATAGGCTATTTGGTAAAGTTTAAAGTAGCAAAATATTATAGACAAAAGAGCAAGAGGCAAGTTGTTCAGTGTCCACCAAAATCTGAGACCCAACACAAAGGCAATGCTTATAAAGTTTTTAGAACTTTACCACAGTTGGGGTTGCCTTGTTTTCTGGATCCGGCGATCTCGTTACCATATTTGTCCACGCACCAACACTGGCCGGTGCTGCCGTGACACTGAGTAGGTTTGTAGTAGCCCTCCTCGGTGCAACGAGGAATATAGGAGCCTAACAACATTTGAGAAGAAAAATAGAGGGAGGGGAAAAATATCAAATAAAGCGAAGTTAAGGCAAGGAAGAAAGAAAAGCTTTAGAACATTAAGTTTGTAAGAGTGGAGGACATAATCCGATTGCTGCTCAAGAGAGGCTATGTGTTTGCATCCGGAAGTAGGAACTAAAGTTCTTGTGTATTCACAAGGGGAGCTTAACAATCAATTACTCCTGTGAAGGTTGCAGGACAACAACCATACATCCTGCTTAAGTGGAGGCAGTCACCCTCAATAACACAGACTCAAACAAGCATCTCCACTCACTCACACACACACATCTTCTGTCACCTTCATTTGACCCAGTCGCGTCTTATTTTTCAAGTCACTTTGCAGTGAGCAGAAACAATACACAATCTGCCAAATGGTAATGGAGGGATTTATACTAAATGTTTGCTGATGTGCCATAAGTTTGCTTTTACAATCCATCCCTGACTTTACCCATTTAGAAATTTAAAAGCAACATGTCAGGACTTCTGGTGTATTTTAATGAAGGACATAAAAAGGTGAAAGACAGCCATCGTTGTTTTTAGACTGACCTATGAGGCTCTTTCTCCGACTCTGATTCTGGATCCTGCTTTTTTCAGTTTGACAAGGAAGTCCTGCAATGAAAGTTGATACAATGATTACTTTAATAAATCAGTTCTGACAAAACTGAAACAGCATCAGCAGATTTAAAATGCTTTCCTTGTCACTCCTTGTCTTTTAAATTTGCTTTTATCTCTTTGACTCACCTCCTCAAAAAAACTCCTCTTTCTGGTGTCACCCTCAAAGCTGCTGCCTGGCATTTTAAGTGTTTGCTTTAATTTACTAAATCCACTCCAATCCTATATACTTGCTTAATACACTTAATACATTGAGCTTTTGTTTATTTTGACTTATAAGTGGGTCTAATTTGTGAAAATTGGGATTGGTCTCAGTCAGAATGGTCAACTTAATATAACACTTTGAGTAACTCTCTTTTAAAATGCTGATTGCGATGTTACACTGGACTTTGCTTTATGTTACACATGAAAAAGTAGTTTATTGACCGTTTTAAGCATGAACATACATCGTAGTGGTTCAATATTGATTACCTCCTGTATAAAAAAGCTCCACAATGATCAAAACTGTACACTGCAAAAAATGGAAATCTAAGTAAGTAATTTTTTCTTAAAATAAGTGCATTTTTTTTCTCCAATTGAGGGCGAAAGTGAGACACTTTGCCAATGGAACAAGACAAATTACATTTAAAATAAGAAAAAACTATTGCATTGTCTTATTTCAAGTTCATGTTATCTAATTATCTTATTTTAAGTGTAAAGATACTAATTTAATTGGCAAAACATCATATTTACCTACTAAAATTAAGGGTAAATACACTTAATTCAAGAAATGTTGACTTATTTCTAGATCGTTTTTGCAGTGTATATAGGAAGTTCAAGAACACCAAAAATGTTCTTATCATTTGCATCTGTGTACAACAATAGGCATTTAAAGAGCAAAAAACATAAATTACAGAGTTAAGCAATTGATCAAGATTCAAATCTTCTGGTATTAATTTAGTTTGACTTTGTTTTTTAAACATAAATATTAGGGAAAGACCAACAAACTCAAATATAAATCTCAATTTCTCCCTCGATTTCAGTTTGTACCTTTACTTTTAGCAGTCTCAGTGTTAACCCCCTCCATCCATTCTTCCCCATCTTTACCTTCAGGCTTCTGGAAACAGTAGCACCACTCATTGTTGGATAGCTTCCCATCCTTAAAGGAGTCGCAGGAGTTGAAGAGAGGCTTCATACACAGCTCATACTTGTCTAAATAAATGGCATTTAGCTCTGATTGGTCCAGCAGCAGGTCGAAGTTCATATCAAGCTTATTGAACATCCAGCCCAGTGAGTCCTTACAAATAGGCAGGATGCTGGTGTCAAAATCTAAACGAGGGGGGAAAAAAAGAGCTATAAATAGAACTTTCTGGGTCATTTCTAATCACTTTACAGCAGCATAGTGAGATCAGAGTGTATACAAGTGTTGACATTGACAGCTGAGATGTGTTGAAACATGTTGACATAACAGGGGACACAGCAGGGTCAGCGTCGACATCAGCATCATCTCTTGCATGCTGAAGAAGCCTGACAGAGATACAGAAAGGGAGAAAAAAACATGACAAAGGAGATGTAAAGCACTCACGTCCGGCGGTGGAGTCAAAACTGTCAGGAGATTTGAGGTCTCTGTTGGCATCGAGGTGGAGAACTCCAAACCAGTCCTTCAGTTTGGCAGCCAGACTGTGGAGCTCTGCATCTGAGCAGCCTGCACACAAAACGACACCAAAATACCAAATAATGAGGTGTGCAATCACTCCTGTTGTTATCACTGCAGAAAAAAAACCATATCTTTTCTTGCTTCTTATCAGTTTCTCTTTATGAATGTTTTCTTTCCTTTGTTCTTCCTCCCTTTGCAAACACGGAGGGCTGATAACACATACTAAGCTGCTGTTATCTCTTGACTGTAACACACAAATACTGTGTTACATTTTTGCCTGCTTTCATTGCTACCCATTCAGAGTTGAAGGTCTGATTAAATAAAAGAGGTTATGAGAAACCCATTTGAGCACAATCGTATAACAAAGATATATTCAACATATGTGTTCACTTGGCTAAAAATAAATGAATAAAAAGGCAGACTTTTAGTGGCTATTGTAGATTTTTTTATTATAAATACGTGTCTGTACATCTATTCTCACTCCCCCTTGCAACCTTAAAGAAAGCTATAGCACCGGGGCCATGCATGTTTATGCTTCTGTTCATCATTCTACCCACACGCAGCACCAGCCCAACCATATTTAATGACACCTCTGTTAACAAAATATAAAGGAGAGAACAGAAAAAAAAATCCCTGGTTGTTTCAGAGAGGCTAACAAAGTCTGCCTACAAATCAAGCAGAAATCTGCCTTGTTTTTTTAGTCGGTCTGCTTTTCTTCGAACCCTGTGTGTGATTGACAGAATTTTCCCCTTGTTCCTTTTCTTTTTTGAGTTTGACAGGTGAGTCCAAAGGGCAGACTCACTCCCCTGCTTGCACCGAGGATACCAGTCTAACCTCTGCAAATTTGCCATGCAGGACAGCGAAAAGGGGAACAAGGGTCGGATATGAGTTTTGTTTGAAAAACAGTGTTAAATAATTACATCTCAATGCATACTGAAGTGATATTTTCTTAAAGATAGGCTTTGTCAGTTGTTTTACAATTCAGACCACCCAGGTCGATACTTTTGTTGAACTGTCAAGACCCTTTTTAAAAGGAATAGTTGTTCGGGGCTATGTGGAGTGTTTCTTTTAGCCATTTTTTCCAGAGCTGAGAAGTGGATGACTGGTAGCTTTTCTGCTGGCAAATTCTCTTGGCTGAGCTGTTGATTTCTGCTGCTCTTACAGAATTACCAGATGATGCCTAAATAATTCTCTTATAGGTTTCCAGCTGTGACAATGTTTCCTGGTGTCACAAAATCCATCCTGATCAGTGTTTTGTTTGACAGGCATCTTAGATTTAGTCTTAGTCTTCAGGAAGAAAACTGTTAATAGTCTTAGTTACATTTTAGTCATTGCGATATGTGATAGTTTTAGTCGGTTTTAGTCGACTAACTTACTATGAAAAAGCAAATAACAAAAACATTCTTTCTACTTTGGCTATTTTGGCTTTATTTAAACTAATTTACCCCCGTTGTTTCCGCTGCTTAGGTCAAAGTAGTTTTAAATTCACAGGGTTTTGATATAAAAAAAAACATAGAGAACCTACATAATTGCCTCGTAATACCATGACAATCCAGACCTAAATTGAATGAATATGCTAACTAAAATGTTGAAATATTAAAAGAAAACATAGAAAATGTTTAAATGACAATACAAGGAAACATTTACATCATATTTAAATAGATAGAAACAAGAACAATGAGAGAGAAATATTTAAAGATCTAAGTACATTTTCACCTGGATCTTTATGCAAAAACAAACAGTATGCAATTT